TCATCAGCTCCATGCATGACACAACACACATAGACACTTCACACACTCGCTCACACACTCGCTCACACTGTGTGTCGTATACTTCACACCCTTTTCCTTCTCACTGTTTCTAACTCTGCAAGCACACAGCAGTTACAGTAACCCATCTGAAATTCGTGAATAGTATACATGCATCCGACACCTTAAAATCAAACCTGTAATACACACATTTCTTAGTCAAATCAAAACCTGCATTTCAACACACCGTCCACTCACAAATAGCCATAAGCTCCATCCTTCTTCAGCTGTAAAACACTATCTTTTACCATTTCTGGAAATAAGTATATATTATTAGCGACAATCTCATTTCCGTCCATCGAGGGCAAACGTACAGTGAATACATGCTATTTACATCAAGAGACACAGTGACACCTAAATATACGATAACTCGAATACAAGCCCAGGTTTCAAGGACAGCTGGAGTTCATGTGCAATAATAGCAGACAGAGATGTAACGGACCCTATAGATCAAAAAACTGTTTTATGTAGGACACCACAGCGTCTCAGCAGACGAAGGTGAAAGCTGATGTCCTTGTATATTTGTTTTCAGGAGAACTTGTGACTTCATATGCAGCCCAAGTTGCGATAGAGGACATCGATTGTACGTTTTCTAAATGTTGCACCCAATCCAGAACGGAGCCAGACGAAAGCCCATCGTGCATAAGTTATTTTTTTATTAATAAACGACCTGATGTGGAAAAATTTGACCTGAAACACAAACTCAAAAAGAGAGAAAACCAGATTCTGGCCTCTGGTTTTAGACGCGCACACCAGCAAGGTAAGTCACAAGCTCTGTCCTCTATATTATGCTGTAGCGAAGGATTGGGGTGGTGGCTCTGTGCTCGCTCTCTGTGGCTGTAGCTGATAGTACAACTGCTGCAGGACGAAGGCTGACTGCTCTCTCTTACATAACCGCATGTACGAATTCACCCAGCGAGAGGAGGGTTGGTGGGGGAGGCGGGGTGAGACAGCTCAGAGAGCAAGAGACTGAGGGAGAGAGATCGAAAAGGCCCTTGGGGAAAGAGAGAGAGAGAGAAAACGGTAGAGAGATAGAGTGTGTAAAGAGTCCAAAATGAGTGATGACTTCCATCCTCGATTTAATATTGGTCTACTGCTTATTTCAGTTGTTACAAGCGATCTAAATGGTAGCAGGGATTGTGACATATGCGACTATCTCAACTGGGAATGAGACGTTTTTACAGTTCCGAAGCGATTAAAAAGGCAAATCCTGAGAAATTACACAGAAGCAGAAACACAGTCAGCGGTGCTTCGGCAGGTGTTGCTGCTGATTTTTATCCTGCGTGGTGCGTCTTAGCTAAAGACGACCGATGCCGTTTGCCTTCTTCTCGACGTTCTGTTCTGTGGTGTTGGCCCACATCATCAGTGACGTTGACACGGGAAAGCAACAGTGCACTTGTACACATTTGACTATCCCTCTTAGATCAGAGGTATTATATTATCATGCATGTGGCTGTGACTTCACATTGCACACACTCACCCTATTTCCACAAGAAAGAAGTGGGAAGCACTGATAAATGACCTATTTTCTTTTAGATTAGGTACGAGGACTGTCAAAGGCAGAACACCTGCATCACTGATTAGTCTTCCTGTGCCGTACGATTCAGGATGGATTTCCCTCCGCAATCACTCCGCTGTTTGAGGACGTACATCTATTATTGTAGTGAGGATATCAAGAACCCACTCGTCAACAAATACCGGGGCGCTACGATCTCACCGAGTTCCCCTAGCAATCTCTTATTTATTTATTTTTTTTTCAGATCTCCTGCTTCTGACTTTAAAAGCAGTGTGATTGAAATTCAAGGTGGCAGAGGTGGTCTGGGAATAGTAGAGGAAACACAGGGTGTTTGAAGAGGAATGGTGTTCCGTCTCCTAGCTGCCGCGCAACAAGGCACCAACCCAGTCCGACTGAACCGGTAAGACGGCGGCTGCACCGAGAAGCTTCCCGACGGGAATGTGCAACGTGAATGTGAAGCAGAGTAAAAGAGGGAAAAATAAACAAACAAACAAAAAAATCCTGCCTTGATAAACAAATGTTGCATCATATCCATCTGTCAAAATGTGTCATCATCCACACTTTACATTGTTATTGCAGTAATTTAGCTGACACTGTTACTCAGAGCGACTTGCAGCGAGTGCTACAGTAGAATGGGCTTTGATTACCCCATCGCCGAAGATTACAGGAAACCAAAAGCAAATAGTAAAGGAGTCAGTGTGTTAGGGGCATTTAATATAATTAAATCGCGCCGTCTACAAAAGTGGTGCTCAGAAAGCAAACGGAGCAGCAACAGAAGGAGTGCAAGATGGTCACAGTCACATACAATTAAGGACCTGACGCAGCAGTGTTGCTTATACACGTCAAGTACACGCTGTTCATGGCCGTCCACCAAACCCAGTTAAAGCTGACCTTATTGGCTGAATACCTAATTAGAAAACAGCCCGATATAACTTTGTGCACGTGCAAACAAGAAGCAACTAGTTTCTACATGAGTCCCGTTAGATAAATGATAGGAAAACAAGGATTTTTTTTTCTTTCTGTGAAACAAAAGTCCATTTATCTGTGCCATACAGAGCTACACCCCAAAAACTATTACGCATGTGCAGTAATCCACTTGCTGAAAATAGTCTGCCACAAACGCGCTGTTTCTCCGATGTTCCCATGTCCAGCTGAGCCATTTTAGAAAACTTATTCCTAGAATTATAACTAGACTCAAGATCTGTATCTGCGGTAAAAATTCATTGGCTAACTGATCTAGTGGGAACTGACATCGTGCTGGTTTGGGCTTTATCATAGTAACAAAGTCAAAGAGAGACTGACACAAGCAGTCCGACTGTTTTTTTTTAAATTAAATTTGTTGTCCATGTGTAGCCTCAAGTACAAACACAGATAATGGGAAAGAATGGGAAAGGATGAAATGCAGGCTAAGTGGTCCAGATTAAAGTGTGATGTGGGATCAGAAAGTTCAGTCTGTTTCATTTGCAGCAGGTGTGATCAGTGACCGTCCTGATTCCAGATGCATAGTGTGACCAACATCTGGATCTGTGTTGTGTGTTTTTTTGTTACGTCTTGCATTTGTGGTTTCACCATTAACCTGCAGAAGCAGTTAAAGTCGTCTGCAACGGATCTGTCAACAGGCCCGTGGTGTTCTGACCTTCATGGATCATCGCTGGTGACGAGAGTTAGGTGTACGGCCGCGACCCAAAAACCAAATTGCAGCCTTTGGAGTGGAATAGTTGCGGCATAATCACGTGAGGTCAGGAGTGCAGCAGGACTATGCGTCTCTTTTTCTCTGACAGCATCGTGCATTCCTGTGAATTCCTCCCCCAGGGTCAATAATGAGTTCTATTGTAATGTCCTGAGACGTCACACTGAGGACATTTGGAACAAGCGATCTGAACTTTGGCAAATGACAACGTGCCCGCTCACAGTTTTGGCCGCGCCAACAAAACCGTTGCTCCTCACCCACCCCCAATTGCTGGATTTGACTCCTGGTGACTTCTCCCTCTTCTGCAAAATTAAATCCGAGTTGAAGGGTGATTGTTTTGACACGCTGGAGGCGATCCAACAGATAGTGTTTGACACGCTTAAAGAACAGGACTTCTAGGGAGCATTCCAAGCGTGGTAGGAGCACTGGGAGCAGCGCATTGCTGCACAAGGTGACTATTTTGAAGAGGCTGGTGGCCAAATTTAAATTAGGTACGCTACGGACTACAAACTTTAATCCCACATCATAAATTCAAAATGAATAGCAGCTTCTATCTTCAGCTTGAAAACAAGGTTGCAAAAGCTACCACAGCAATCCCTCAGTGTCTTATCTCTGTCTAGGATTTTAGCTGAATGATTTGGATCAGAATTTTTGGCATCCGTCTCCACCCAAACGGCTGCAAAAAGATTCTTCAAAATGTTACACTGAGGAGTCACAGAGAAAGCCAGAGTTTGTATGTCTAGTGTTCGACCAAAACTAGTTTACAAGTTTAACAAACTTTCTGAAAAACACTTGAGTGGACCTGACAACAACTTCAGTTCCCTCTGTGTCCTGTTCCCCATCATCTCTCGCTCCACCCCACGGCCTCCATCCACCAGCTGTCAGACAGGCGTGAAGGCCTCAGTGGAGATGGACATACAGATGGATGGAAAGCAAGAGGGAGGAGGCGAGGGATGGATGGAAGGAAGGAGGAGAGGGAGAGGTGTGACCCACTTAGCAGAGCCTGGAGTATTTATAGAAGAAAGTGTCCTAATTGGCAAGCCGCTGGGAGAGCGACAGCACTGCACTGGTACCCTACTCCTTGTCCTTCACCTCCACAACCTTCCCTTCTCCTCGTCCTTTGCTTTCTTCTGATACCTTTGCTCCTGTCCTCTTTCACCTCCCAGAACGTGTCTTCTCAAAGACTCCCGTCTCTCTCTCTCTGCTGCCATTCCCTCCTTCTTCTCTTCCACATCAGTGACCTCCTTCTCATCCTTCAACTTCCACCTCTTACCCCTCCTCCTCTTGTGAGACTCTCTGTTCTAACTTTACACTTCACTCTCTAGTTTATCCTCCTCTTCAGTTTTTTGCCACTTCTTGTCTTCACCCCAGCTATCTTGCCCTCTTCCCTACATCCTCCTTTTATTCTCATTGGTTGTTTTTGCCTCGTCCCATCTTCTTTGCCTCATGGTGTTCGTGTAACTCAGTGATGTTTTATGTCACACTTGTTTTCCACACATATCTCAGGACTCTTTGGAAACCACGAAGCATACATGTAAGATGACAACACTATTACAGAAAGACTTAACTCATGTTGCACTAGATGCTAAACCTTTTGGTCTTTGAAAATGGAACTTCAAAAATAAATACAAGGTCGCAGTGATTCAAAACAAACCAAAGCTGGATGATTATAAGGGAAAACGGATGAAAGTGTGCAATGAATTCTAGGAACATGGCTGGATGAAAGAACAGACTCACGTAGGAAGTACTCTGAAGCATCCGCCTCATAGTCGGCATCCTCAGGAAAGTGATCTATCTGCTTACACATGCCTTTAAAGGAACCTGAGAGAAAGAGAGGAAGAAGTGGCATTAGAACAAACAGGAGAAAATTAACAGTTCATAGCAAAAAATAATCCAATATTGTATGTGCACGTGTCTGTTTGTCTCCAGTTCAATGCCAATCCATCACTCGACTGCGGTAAAAATTGAAATAATGAGAGGAAGAGAGGAGATACAGAAGGACGGGACGACGTAGAATCAGAGAGGAGAGGCAGAAAATTTGGGAAGATGGAGAAAAAAGGGGAGTAGAGGGGGAAAAAAAAAATGTGGAGAAAAGCAAAGAGGAGAAGTGGGTTAGATGAGACATTGGAGACAAAGGCGATAAGGAGAGGAAGAGGATTTTGCCAAAACGCTTTGAAGGGAAACACAACACGGGACAGAAAGTGACAGACAAGACGAGAAGAAGATGGGAGGAGTTTAATCTAAATGCATCAAAGATGCAGGTGGGAGGGTGAGGAGGAGGAGGCAGGAGGAGAGAGGGAGCGAAATGCAAATGATGGAGAGGAAGAAAGAAGAGCTGATAGTGCCGCTCATTAAGAGAGATTGTGTGTGTGTGTGTGTGTGTGTGTGTGTGTGTGATTCGCTTGGTTCAGCTCCAGTGGTAATTGTATGCCCTCCCAAACCACTGCAATTAAATGGCCCCTTGTTAATTGGCGATTGAAGGACGAAAGAGTAGTGCCCGGCTTTCAAATGGGCATCGGTTACACACACACGAACACACAATTGCACAACATGTCTCACACTTACAGACACATTCACACACTGTAGCCCCGTCGTCAAGCATCTCGCTCCTCTCTCATGGCGGGGAGAGCACTTACTGCTAAACTTTGAGAATCTGCATTTTCGTCATGACTACAGAGGAAAGAACAATTTTACACCAAAGCCCGACACATAAAAGTGAGGAGAGAGAGAGAGAAAAAAAATGTGATGACAGGGCTCTAACAACAGCCTGTTTCATATTTACATATCTTTAATACACCTCAGCAAACACTCAGACGAACAAAGTGTTTTTCATCAGGTAGACTTTGATAGATACATTAAAGAAGATATTTCACCAGGAAGCGGCGCGGAAACCTTTCAGCATCCTGCAAAACGCTTTCATCATTTCATAATTTCGGTGTGAACCGTTGTGTGTGTAGAGCTGCGCGTTGGAGATTTCTGTTGGGTTCCTGAAAGGACTGCGATGAGAGACGGCGGCGGCGGCGGCAGCGTGGGCTCCGGGAGAAATAGCCTCACATTCGCCCCTTTTGTCTCTCTTACTTACTGCAATTGTTTGTTGTGCAAATGTGAGTGGTGCTACAAAGTCAAATATGCTCGAATCATGCCGCGTGTACTCGAGAGGGTTGGAGTCATCGTAATAAAGTGCTCTAAGTGTCGACGAGCAGTGGCCTTTCAGGTGATGTAATTTGCCCTACAGTGGATATAAAGCAGGGTTTGTGTGTCTTGAAGAAATTACATTTAAATGGCAGCAATAAACGCGTTGTCTATCAAACCATGAGGACATATTGGTGCCTAAAAATTCTAGTAAGATGCACATGTGTGTGGCCAACATATTCAATCTTGCGTTACATTATCCACTTGTAGGGTTTGCAGCATTATTTAGCGCTTTATGGCTCATGATTACACAAGGGCAGCACTTTGTTAAGGTTACTGGAAAACGATGCAGGAAAAGCCCACAGTGACGGTAAACACAATCTTTCCCTAAAGCAGATTTAAGGACAAAAGGAAGATGGAGGTAAAAAAAAAGGACAAGAGGGCAGGGATGAGAAATTATACATGAAAGAGAGAGGGTGGAGACAGGGAGTAGCGAAAAAGATGAGGAGGAGGAGAAACCAAGAGAGGGCAGCGTAAGGTTAGTGAGACTCAAAACAGGTGGACGTTGAATGATGAGCGAGAGGAGCTGGTGTAGAAGAGGAGGAGGAGGGCGAGGCAGCAGGGAGGCTGGTTTAGTCTTTGAGAAAACATTCTGTGACTTAATGGAGGACAGGGGAAAAAGTTGTTTTGTTGGGATCCTACATGCAAAATCCTGGTCTTTGGTCTCGGAGTCAAGAGCTGTGTAGGTCCACCATCCACCCCGACAACCTCCCGGTTAATCCCAATGTAATCCAGTCAGAGGAGACAAATTATAAAAAAAGTAATTTCCAGGAGACAGAGTTGTAGCTCTTATGACAGGATGATTCTTTAGTCTTAAATTACATCATTAGCTGCTCAGCTGCGGATTTATTCCTGACAGATCTTATTAGCTTTGTGTTTTGATGGTGTCACCTATAAACAACAGCAGATTCCTGCCTTGACGGTGACGGTGGGTGAACTTCTGCTAAACAACAGCAGCTGGGACTGAAGTTTTCCTGCTTTGATAGAATTTTATTAAGCAAACGAGTCCTTTCTGTACGACACTGATACTTCTTCTTTTTCTTTTAAAGTTATTTTTTTTGCCTTTGTGCCTTTATTGGATAGTGTGTGAGAGAGAGAAAGGAAAGTAGGGGAGAAGAATGGGGGGAGGACATGTGGGAAAGGGTCATGAGTGAGATTCGAACTCATGACCTCCACATTGGGACTGTAGCCCTGCACATGGGATGCCAGCTCAACCAGGTGAGCCCCTCTTCTTCTTCTTCTTCTTTTTTTTTTAAAGATATTTTTTGGCCTTATTCGATAGGACACAGAGCGAGATGGGAAAGTGGGGGTAGAAGAATGGGGGAAGGACCTGCAGTAAAGGGTCATTAGTGGGACTTGAACCCATGACCCGCTACATCGGGGACCATAGCCCCTCTACGTGGGACGCCAGCTCAACCAGGTGAGCAGGCAGTTCTGATCATTCTCACCTTTGGGGCTTTGTCAAAGCACGCTTCACAACTATTGGAGTGGTTTGGTATTCGACATTACAGCTAATTAGAACAGGTGTGTTTGTGCTGTTGACAGGGGAAACAAATAAAATGTAGAATCTCCTCCGTGAAACTGAAACTGGGTCAGTGAGAAATGATAACAAAGATACCGGCCAAAAAAAAAAAATGTTGCCACACAGAAAGTATCCTTTATTATTATCATCTGGGCTTTCATTAACTTTTACATGCTACGTGTCTTTGCACCATTCGTAGCATCGAAGGACGTCACAGATGCCCACTTCTGCTTTGTGCACGTACAAAGAAACCAGTGTGCACTCCACCGTACTCACTGTTGAGACAAGACTTATGTCAGCATCATACGGGAAGGCGTTCAGGTGTGATGTGTCTTCTGGTCTATTCATTCTTTTTTTTTTTTCTTTTAAATTCCTGTATAAATCTGTGATCTCTATTGTTTCCCCCAACATCTAACATACATACAGCACGATAAAATGTTCAAAATGGTGTCCGCTCCGGTTGCTAGGTGATGTACAAAGTCGAAGATGCGGCGAAGACACTGCTCCACGGGTACCATCGCTCCCTCAACTTTAATAAAAAAAAACAAAAAAAAACACTCCTTTTCTTGTTTGTGTTTTGCTTTTTAATTTTACTGTTTTGGTGTCTTCATGTGAATATCCCCCCTCCACCCGACATGTCAAACACATCAAATCTCACACACACACACTCCCAGCTATGCAGAAACTCCATCATATCCATTCTCTCTCTCTCTCTCTCTCCCTTTCACACGCTCCCTCACTCGCTCCAACACATGCCCACCCACGCTGCACCACAAGCACATGTAATCTGGAATTGCATTTTCCCGTCCTCCTCTCTGCTATCGCTCTCACACACGAGCCTCCCTCTCGTTCACTCCTATCTGTCTCTCGCATACATTACATGCGCCCGCACCCCGAAGACCGGATTCCCATTTGAACCGAAAGCCGGCGGCTTCCTCCCCCTGCTCCTCTCGCTCTCCCTTTCTTCCTTTATGCCTCCTGCGATTCGAATGAAGAACGGCGCTTTATTGTCTCGACGGGGGAAGAAAGCCGGGCGGCGTGTTTCATGCCTGATTTATGGGGTTAAACACATGATATACGCTGAGCGACCACTTTGCTAGATACACCTGTACCTCTGAATGTGGTGCAGGCCGGTACAACATGTAATTAACAGCTCGGTATCAAAAAAAACCCTTGAATATTCATTATAAATGCAGATTTTTACAGCTGACAGAACCGGATTGCATGAGTGCACCTTATGAAGTGATATTGCAGATTAGCAATACAACCTGCGCAAGCAAATAAATATGCTTAACATTCATTTAAGCTCTTTATAAACTGTACTAATCTGTCGTCAGCACTGTTCTATGAGATTTCTGTGGTTAAAATGGCTGTTTTTTTTTTTTTTTTAAGCTGCACTGACATCAACCGATCTTTTGCTCAGAACAAAACAACGCCTTTGTTGGCTGCTGTGAAATCCCCGTCTAAGAAACTCCACCGTCCTCCTCCTCCTCCTTCCTTCCTTCCTTCCTCTCTCGACAAGTCATCATAATGAAGTGTCGCTCTACCAAATTGCCCCTGTTAAATTATACATTCTGCTTAAACATGGAACAGATACTATTATTCCGAGACCAACCTGCACCTCGGGGGTCAGGGCGGCTCCGTCACCCACTTACGCTCGCAGCGAGAGGGGCCATTGTGTCCCCCGGCGGATGATTTATATCAATAAGAAGAGACCTTGGCGACCCCCCCTCCTGCTGTCACGAGCCAATCAGAAGCCTGCTTATCGACTGACCTCACAGCTGTTAAGGATAAGTTAATGTAGTGTGATGAAACACTAAGAGACACCCTTTTATGAAGTATTAACATCCTAACCCACTCAATGAGATACAGAAAAACGTGTGTGTGTGTGTTAAAGAGATGTGAAGTATAAATGCCCTCTTCTGAACCAGCACCGTGTGTTATGCAAATACTTGGCATAGTGTCTTTATTCCTTATGCTAATTACGGCTCAGTCTATCTGTATGCTAAAGTGCCATTAAAGTAATCCCTCAGCTGCAAAGGTGGATGAACATCAGAGACCTCAAAGGAGACGTGTTGCACGGCAAAGCTGGCTATCGGCTCAGTTC